AAGGTGTGTACATAGGTTTCAAGTTAGTAATTAAAGTATTTAATTTGTTGGTTCAACTACTTAATATAATGGGTAAGCCAATTGTGTCTTTCTACTTCCAAATTTTATTCATGTCCATGAACTGACTAACAAGTTGTTCAATGTCATCCCTTTTCTTCTCTAATAGCACTAAACGTAGTTCGTATACTCTCTCCATTTTGTTCAATGTAATGCAGCTAGGATTAGTGGGGCCACATGCTTTATGTTTGCTGTTAAATTAGATCATCTATTCTTTCTCTGGACATTTTCCCCCAAAAATTTCCCCTAATCCGTCACCATCGTAGCTCAGCATGATAAGAACCTATTCTACAAAATGGCCAACACGTGGTAACAAACTATTCTAAAAAAAAACTTTAAACAAGTCCAACACTAAATGGTTTAATTATCACTCCTTTGATGAAAAATGTTAAGATATTAAGTTTTGAATTCAATACTCAGACGCCACTTTTCATTTCAAAAAATTTCCTAAGTTCAAAAAAAAAATTTAACAAAAATATTAAATCAAACCTCATTGTTTCGAATTTTCCATATGCTACAAAGACACAAGAAGGTAGTATCTTTTGCAGAGAGATGTCCAAAGAATCTATGACAATTCTTACAATTTTTAGACCCCACATCCACAAAGAGCATCAGATACTTGAAGCCCTCTCGCACTAAATCTATTTCCACGCAACCCTTCACATTGGATACTATTCAATTCTCTGCAGTTTCTCATCTGATTTATCTCTATTTCTACATTCTTATCTGGATCAAAATCAAGGGGAAAAAAATTTCGGTGGGAAAACTAACCGTGTACTGCGTGGGCGATTTCCAGGCAAGGCAGCGACGGCGGCGGTAGTTAACAATTTGTCTGGCCGATGTTGTGATGTGCAGCCCTTGGATTATGCTTTTGGGGCTCAGATCTACAAGAAGAACATGGAATACGCACTGTAAATCCAAGGATAACCACCATCAAAATCTATCAAGAAAGCTGGAAAATTACCGTCTATGGCGTGGGGATTTGGAATCCAGGACGTGCGTGGGTCAGCCACTCACGGCAGCATGAACGGGAAAAGCTAACCTAGCCGGAGAAGAAAGCAGATCGGGGAGGAAAAACAGAAGAAAATAGGGAAAGTGAGCGAGGAGCCAGCGGAGGTGGGGTATAACCCAGCATAATCGACAGCCAAAGCTGACGGTGATATAGCAATGTAAAAAACGGCGTCGTTTTCAACTTAAGCGTCAACAATGCTGCCGAATATTAAAAAACATTACCGACAGCCAAATTTCTGTCGATTATGTATATATTATCGACAGAAAAGCTGCCGA